CGGCGACGCTGCCGGACGGGCTGGGAAGGCTCCCGAGGGTGCTGCTCTCGGGCTTGGCCTCCACCTCCAGGCTCGGGGAGGTCTTGCTGGACCTCTTGCGCAGGATGGGCGGCGGAGGGTTGATCTTGGGAATGGGCTGTTGCCTCCTGGGAAGCACAAGCGGAGAGGAGGGTGAGAGACAACGAAATGTGTGCAGAGGACCCAGCCTCTCCAAAAGGCCAAGGCCCTCTTGGGGTCCCACCAGTGCACCCCATTGCTCACACACCCTGGAGTGGTGGCACTGGGAGCAATGCAGCATTGGCCCTCTTGCCACAGAGAGCCAGAAGCAGGGCAGAGAGTGACCCCATCCCTGTCCCGTGGGGGACACAGGGGCTTTGATGCCCCCGCACTGCCCTCGTGGGATTCACTGGGTCTCAGCCTGCGCACAGAGCGATTGTCCGGCCCCTCGGCTGCAGCCCTGTCCCCACGGCCAAGGGAGCTCTGAGCGCCCGCGCCGGCCGTGCTGCTGCGGGGGCAGAGGGGAAGCGTCTGCCCAGGGGCCCCAGCAGGGGCAGAGGGGCCAGGTCCCTACCTGTCCTCGTCCACCCTGCTGTCGCCGTCGTCTGCCTTCTGCCAGCTGCTCCCGTTGAGCAGAGCAAACTCGCTGACCTCAGAGCCCTCCACGCGCCGGCTGAAGCCGTCGTGGCCCTGCAGCACGGCCAGGCACTCGTCCTTGCCCTCGTAGCAGGAGCCACCCCTCTCCAGGCTCACGAGGTTGAGGTAGGAGTCCCCCAGGGCCAGGGCCGAGCGCGAGCCGGGGCCCACGGGGCTGCCCAGGATGCTGGCGGGGGTGGAGGTGGACGGCAGGTTGATGTCCAGGCTGTAGTGGTTCTTCAGGTTCAGCGACAGCGACTGCGCCAGGGACAGGTTCTGCAGGGAGCGCTCGACTGGCGGGAGAGACGTGACAGGGCTGAGGGGCTGCAGGCTGCAGCCCCTGGGGTGAAGGGGGGTGCGAGCCGGGCACGGGCGGCCCCGGCCCCGCGGCAGCTGGCCCCTCACCTGGCTGCCCCCGCTGCGCCTTCCC